GGTTTGCAAGCTCCTTGCTGAGGGACTGGATTTTGTCAGACCTTTCTTCTGCCCCTGGCTGGGCACCTGCTAAGTGCTCAGTGTTGTCCAGGAGGTTCTCGCCCAAGCCTGATGGGTGTTGATGCTTCTTCTGCCAGCGCTTGCACACCATAGCTTCTTCTACTGCCCTCTTGTTTGCATGCAGCACAGACAGGATGTGCCTGCAGGGCAGCCGGTACCGACAGTGGAAGTAACAACTGCAGCTCGTGCAATCTTTGCTGACCTGGTGCGTGTCTTCTAACAGCTGAACCACAATCTTGTTCTTCATGCTGATGATCTTGGTTGACTTCTCCATCACCTCCCACTCACTCAGGTACAGCTGGTAGCTCAGGTCAGTGCAACTCTTGTGCAGAGCTGCCAGCATAGCGCCTGTGGCCTTAGCTGGTTCCTGCTTGACGACCTGCTGGGGAGGCTCAGGAGAGCTGATCTGGGCCTGCACAGGAGCATCAGGAGCACGTTTTGGGGTGGCACGCGTGCGTGCTTTAGGCTTCTCAAGGCTGTTCCGGCCATCCTCTGGCGAGAAACCCTGCTTCAAGTTTTCCAGGCCTTTGGTGTCAAAGCAGTCTGCATATTCGACAAAGTGAAGGATGCTCGTCTCCAGTGGCGACCGCTTGCTAAAGAGAGTGGATAGTTTATGGGTGATGAAGTCCAGACTGTCCATGTAGGTGCTGCAGGAAAGGAGACCTTTCTTTGCATGCAAGTACCACAGCATCTCACAGGAGAACCAGTTGGCCTGAAGAGAGTCAAACAACTCTTTGTCCACCAAGCGCTTCACCAGCTGAGACAAGCCATCTAGCTTTGGGCTGGAAGGGGAAAAAACAGCCTCTCTCAAAGCTAGTGTCACATTACGCTTGAAGGAAGAAGAGACTTCTGCTTCCTCTACCTTCTTCTCTAGGAGTTGGGCAGTGTGATAAACAGAGAGCAGCACTTTGGCCGACGGAAAGAGCTCCTGCAAGGTGGCTTTGTGAAGGAAGGCCATGTCCACAAAGACCACCTTGACTTTCTGCCACTCTGGATTGAACTCCTTGAAGACTGTGAGCATTTTACTCACGTTCTCCCCAGTGTCCTCCTTGAGGACAGCAAAATGAACCAGCTTCCCCACCCGGTCCTTGCTTTCTGCTAGGAAGGCATAAAGCACGTGTCCTCTCTCACTCTGCACCCTGTGCAGCAAGAGGCTCTCGGAGAACTTGACAAACAGGCTCTTCATTTTGCTGGTCTGGAAGTTCAGCCTGTCAAGCTCCTGGCTGCTGCTCACGCTGATCGAAGCCAATGACCCCATGTCCACCCTCAGGAAGTTTTTCATGACTTCAGCAACCTTCACTAAAGCTGAGGGAGAGGCATTTTCCTTGACTGCCTCAGGAACCTTACTGAGCAGAGGAGAAGACCTGTCTGGAGTCCTGTCAGGTGTCGCAGAGTCCTTGCCAGCTGTTTCACAGTCTTCTGCCTTAGTTTCTTGTTGTCTACGCAGTTTTGTTGCAGGTTTGTCATCTACCGTGGAGCTGGCTCTTCTTGTCACCCGAGAAGAGCCTGTAAGAACCACGGGAGTTCCTGGCTCGACATGAACGTGTTTACCGTTCAGCTCCGTGATCACCAGCCGGTCAATCTCCTCATTATATTGCAAGACAAAGTAAGCAGGGCACAAGTTGGGCTCTTGTTTCCTCTTCTTACTGTATTCCCGCGATCGGATACAACAGAACTTCACCAGCATGAACCTAGGGAAGAGGAGAAAAGTTAGCAAAATCAGCAGGATATAGCTCTGGAGTAGCAGAGTTTAGCACTGCTTGCTCACTTGCCTGCCCATGTATCCAAGGACTGAACACATGAGAAGGACGTAATATAAAGGTCATAACCAAAGGTGTTAGGAAGGCTCGGAAAGACGTCATTGAACACAGCAGATACAAGACTAAATTTACTGCCACGTTTGGCCCCAAGCCCTCATTTCTGGTGGTGCATCTGATGTTTGTTTCTGACTTGCCCAGGCCACAAAGGCAGCAAGACTGAAAACAGATCATCATCGCCATCACTTCTGAAAGCAGCCCTGAAGAATGAAGGAGCTAGGCTCTGATCCTGCAGACTTTACTCACGTGACTAGATCCACTGGTTTCTACATAAGTGGTATCAGGCCAATACTCCCGGAGCATTTCTTGCATCAGTAAAGGCTGCAGAATCAGGCCTCGCAAAGTGCAACAGAAAGAATATTAAAATCTATTAATTTTGAAGTGGCTGGAGAATGCCAATAGACACTGCAGTCGACACAGAGAGCATCCTTAGGAAAAGATGAACGCGTGAAATCAGAAGTAACCAGCGTGCCTTCGTAAAGGTATCACCTCAGAGATCAGCGTTAAAACCTGGTACAGAAAACAGCAGGGAGAGAGCCTGCGACACATCAAACTAGAGACAGAGGCCCGCCTGCAGAGGAAGATCTCCGTGAAAGATGGGGGGGGGATGCTACACGTGGGTGAGGAGGGAAAATGAGAGAACATGTTAATGAAGCAGAGAGATGCTCTGTAATTAAGAGGCGATGGTGCACACACTCAGAACTGGCTGAGGTTCTTCAACTGACTGGAACGCAGCAGAAACTCACTGCGCAGGAACCTGGTATTTGTTTCCATGTTTAGCACACACCATTGTACCCCCTGGCTTGAAAGTGTAGCCCACGACTTTGACCAGATGCGGTCCAGGCACAAGAGATCACATTCGAACAGGCAGGTAAAGAGCTCTTGCGCCAAGCGGACACGAAGCTGGACCGGGGCCTAGGAGGGCTGGGAGAAGTTCCAGGTTGCGTGGCCTGCAGCGTGACTCGGAGAAGCCACGTCCAGGCCCGGCGCCCCCGTCCCCATCTGTGAAATGGGGTTAGGAGAGTGGAGAGCACCGAGACCTGGGGATGAAAAGCACTGCAAGAGGCCCAGGCACCGTCTTTCTTACGGCAGTTTCCATCCCAAGGCATTTAAGAGGACGCGCTTCAAAACCAGCCACCACCGTGACCGCTCTCATGGCGACCGTCTCAGCTGCTTGCAGCAGCTTTAGACGGGAGCGAGACAGAGTCCTGCGGGCAGTTCACATGGCAAAGGCGTGAGGTCACGGGCCTAGGGCCGCCCGGCCAAGACACCTGGTTGGCAGGGCGAGGCCCCCACGGCCTCCTGCTGCTCCGTGCCCCGTGCCCCTCCATCCACGGCTCCTCCTGGCCCGCGCCAAGCCGGCATGCACCTGACCAGGAGGGAGGCTCTGGCCCGGAGCGCTCCGGGGGCTGCTTCGTGCCCGTGTCCGAGCAGAGCGTCGCCGGGCAGCGCCCGCTGGCTCTGCACGCGTGTTCGAGGGCCCGCAGGCGCCCCCGTGGCACATTTGTTATGACCCCGTGGCCTCCACCCCCGCCCATCATTGCTTGCCCTGAGTCACCTGCGACGTGGTGCTAGCGGCACCCCCAGCGGGCGGGCACTTACGTGATGTCCTCGCGGATGCGGGTGCCGTGGCGGCGGTTGTAGAAGCGCACGGAGGTGCAGGTCTTCAGGCCGTAGTGGCACCGGTTCTCCTTCTTGTAGGTGCTGAAGCACTCCTTAAAGTCCTCGTAGTTCTTGAAGCAGGAGCCCACCTCCATGGCTCCAGCCCGGCGTCCTGCTGGGCCGCAGCCCCTCGTGCAGGCGACGCCTCTGCTGCGCCCTGGCTGCCCCCACCCGCCTGGCAGCACCACCCAGCCCTGCCTCGTGCTCCTGCCCTGCCTTTGCACCCACTGCTACGCCGGGCAGGTGGAGGCCGCCCGCTGCGCCCCGCTCCCCTACACTGGGGTTCGCTTCCGCCCCGCGCCTCTTAACCCAGCCCGAG